GGAGACCATTGCTGTCTTGCAGTCGCGTTTCCCTGTCACGTGTCGTTCACGACATACTCGTCTCCAAGTTTAATTGACAATGCCGCCCTGACGTTCACCTCGTCCAATGTGTTCTGGACCCTCGAGGCCGGCTGTGCCGCGGTCAGACAGTCCTCGACTGAAAGCTCCACCGTTATGCCGTACGCGGTTTGCGCGCACAACCTTGGGAAGCCCAGCCCATGATGCCACACAGCGTGAGAACTCCAGGCATTTGCTCGAAGCTGGTTGAACACCTCCTTCTTCAGCAACATGAATGACCTGATGAAAGCAGGTGCCACTGCAAACGATTGACAACCAACCGTGACGGCTTCCCTCATCATAATGAGTCTCAAACACATCAACAATGACGGTCTCAGTATGGCTGAACTCACATCGTAGAGGTGCAGCAATGGGATGTGTTTTGTCCACCTTCATGACTTACCGCGCAATGGTCACACTTGAAGTTCTTTGCAGCCCAAACCAAGTCAGGGTTTGCTTTTGCACTCTTCAATATCTGAATCATGAATCATCACATGTTTTGGCTTATGTCCCAACATGTTGTGAAGTCTTCTTACATCCAATCCTTGCCTTTCTTGGGACTCGGCTCCAAACCTTACGTCTCTTTGCCTCATCCTTGGGAAAACCTTGAAGCGGTAGGTCCGGTAGGTCGTCAACAAGTTGTTCCTCAGGATCGGCAATTGCATTGTAACTGTATACCATGTAACCATGTATGTATGGAGTCTAAAGTACCCAAAAGATCAGCATCCTCTCTTCAGCAGGGAATGCATGTTCGACTTCATTCAAATCCAAAACATCGTGAATGACATTGTTCGAGATTTCACAGAGTTCTGGATCATCTACCGTGTCAATGCTCTTGGGACTTGGGACAACAAAGTACAGTCCTATCACAGCATCAATTACGGATCACGAAAATCCACAGTCAACAAGTGATCTTGGATATGACCTGCGCGCAGGGGCCACACGTTTGGACGCGACCGCAAGTATCCAGGGTCCTGTTTCCTGCATCCCCCTTCATCTCGATTTCCGCAAACCACACTCCGGCCGGAAATCTAGATTCCTTATCAACAAACAGCTCCTTATGAACGCCAGAGGGCATTCAAAACGTGCAAAGCGCCAATCAGTGGCATCGACATGGCACACAGCAAGATAACATGCTAAACAAAAGCTGCGCTAGCTGGAGAACATTGGAGATCAACGCAGTTCCAGCGCCTTTGTCACGCCTTTGTACAGCAAGAGTGGCAGATGCGAGTGTCCGCTGGGTCGCCCACGAGGAGGACTGTCTAAAGAAGTGATGATGTCCAGCGCCTCTTCGGTCAGTTTTTTGTTCATGGACCATACTCTGTACATGAGGCTCTATGAAATGAAAATCACTTTCCTCTATGTCTACGAAATGGATTTTGGACACCATTTCTTTGCAAAATGTGATGTAGGACTCCCAAGGTAACAAGTACAGAGGATCAGGGAATCAGGGACCTACAAAATTCAGAAAAGGGCAGCCCAAGCGCAAGGAGACTTCCACAGGCCCAAAAGGTGTAGTTTCAACTCGGCTCGCGCTTCCCAAATGCTGTTAGTGTCATCTCAGTGTGTGAGGGCTGCTGTGTAAACCAAGAGGTCAGAAACTAGTTGTGTCATGGAGACGAAACAAATACATAATATATAACTATAATATATAGTGCTATATAATCATATTATATGTATGGGCGCCAGATATAAATATATTGCAGTATATAGTAGATGCAGATGCTGAAGCAGTTGCATTGAGCAGACCCACAAATTGAAACGTACATACGAATCAGAAAACTAAAAAAAAAAACATGTCCAAAATCGATGGTAGCCTCACCCTCGACTATCACAAGTCGACATTGATTACATTGGTTAAAGTAGATCAGAGATATTTTATGGTTTGTTCTACCTTTACTTTTGTAATAAATGATTGATTTGCTAGCAAAGGATTGATTTGTTAGAGAATGAATTACAATACAACAATTAAAGTTAGATCATATGATTCAGAAACAATTGCTTTCCAGGGGCCCGAAATGTCCGCGAGCCCATATATATATATATTTAAATATACACCGCCAGTATGAAAGGCCAGGGAAAGCATACTTTACCACTTCGCTGCGGTTCGGAAGGGACTGTGCATACTGTTAGGACTTGCTTATCAATTAACCTCGAACATAATATGATATTGCCCCCGTTTCCAGCTGTGGTGGCTCTAACAGATCTTCAAGCTTGTTTGATGCAGACATTAACGACTCATGAAAGGTAATAAATTCTTTTCTGGATCAATTTACATGTGCAAGATTGTGACACCTGCTGAATCTCAAAGACTTGGTTTTTAAGGTCAGCGCATCTTCGGCACCGTTAAGGCAGGTTGATGTGAGGGTCAATCCTTTATGCTCAATATGCAGCAAATGAATGCAACTGAATGCACTGTGCCTTACTAGTAGTAACAAGTGCATCGCTACTAGTAACAAGTGCCTTACTAGTAGTAACAAGAAGCTAGTTTTTCCCGGTTGCTTTACCTTGACGTCGCCAGCAATGGAACTCGAAGAGTCGGACCGGCTGGATTACTGTGAATGGAACAGGCGGGGTGGGGTGGAAGGTGAAAATGTATCGGCTGGATGTGAAAGACCTGCGGTTTGGGCATGACTTCTATTGTTCGGACAGAATGCCTTCCGGACTGATTTGGTTCTCATTCAAAAGGTTTGCAGAAGCTGGAGTGGCTTGGAGCAGCCCGCAAATATGAGGTGGTGGCCCCTTTCAGCGTCCCCTTGGCGAACCCTGAAGCCTCACCAGTCGACCTGGGCTTCTTTGTACAGTGACCCCAAACCTACGGCAGATGCAATGCTGCAGACAAATGTTTGGCGGAATATGTGCTGCAATCTAAAGAAAAAAGAATGACCAGTGTACCAGACTTGTTTCTGGGTGTTGTATGTTTGTTCTGGATGTTGATGACCAACTGGACATCAGTTTGGGTGCAATCCATATGTCGAGCTGCTACGTTGCCAGAGACCTGGAAGGCCCTGACGTAACAGTGACCAGCAACTGTTTGGAAGATGTGGTCACCTTGATCCCAGGCTCGGTTCTTGACGTGGAAACTGCTTTTGTACCACAAAATAGTGCTCCTTTTGCATTGCTCAGATTTGATTGTCGGTCAATTCCATTGTGGGGCGCACACCATTTGAGCAGATCAGGCGCGCCAGTTCTCTTCAAGATGGGAGCTGCGTACAGTGATTCCTGGAACAAGCACACAGTCCAGTGTTGCATGGGCGACCGAGAAGCTGCTGCTTGATTCACCGTTCAGTGTGCTTGGAGGTTTAAATTGAACAGTCTCCAAGAGTTTGTTTGTCACCACAACTCACCATGTGATATATCTCTACTTTTTGTATCTTTTTGTAATTGGATATTATATATACTGTATATGATTATGACATTCGTATTCATTCTGCTACTGGTTATTCAACATATTATACTTCCAGCTATTTGTCGTGAATTTTAGGTAGATGTGCAACATTTGGGCGAAGTTGTGGTCGAGCTAGCATTCCTTCTTGAAACTCTGTCACTTTTGTCACGTAGGTTTTTGCAGACAGTGGGATCCCAAAGTAAAAAGCACCTGGAGGGGGAATCGATTCAACTCATCATGCAGTGGTTTGCCTTTAGGTGCCTAAAGCTATAATATAGCTCTTGCGTCCCAGTCAATATCTCCGAAAGAGTGTTTGCAATGACCTGTGGCCAAGTCAGGTTTTGACAGCTCATGAGTTAAGCTAAAAAACTCAGCCATACAGAATTGAGGTCAAAAGACAAACCTTGGCGGGGAGGATGTTTGGTCATTGGGTTTGCTTGTAAGACCAAGTATCATCCACCACTGAGATTCGTGAGCACTTGAGCGCCAACTTCGGCACAGACTGCGCTGTGCGCCACTGGGCGCGGTCGCTTCAGCATAAGCTCCAGATGCTTGGCCATTGGATATGTTGATAATCATTGCGAACGAACTGGAGCTGTATCTAGAAGCTAGCCTATTCACCTTGCCATGCGGGCGGGCGCAGCTGGTGGTAAATGGAACATGAACGTTAATCTGATGTTCACTGATCTCACAGCTTACCACCAAAGTCACCAAAGGTCATTTCATAGTTTTGATCCATGAGCTTTGTCATACCACTGGAGATAGCTCCTTTGCTCCAGGTGATAGTTATTGCGTGGGCAATGGTGGGCTTATTGTTGTCATATCTCAATTCACACGGCGTCCACACCTCACAAGCTAGTGGAGCAGGTCAGCGGGTCTATGCATTTTCTGAAAAGTAAAGCCAGGGTACAGTGACTGGGCCTTGGGGATGAAGGAAAAACGAACCGAGAGGAATCAAGACGATAAAATGATGAGCCAGTTGGCGGTAGCCGTGGAATTTAATTTGTTCAAGTGCTGTACTACTTGGCCAAGCCCCACATTCTCTGTAAGGATTGAACTGCTGCCTACTCCAGCATAGCATACCCATTCAATGTGCATTGGTTTTCTACTTGAGTGGTTTTAGTATTCCGTGTAGTTCCAATTTCTTTAGGTTATTGCCGCATGTTTGTTTTGGTGACAGCATGGAAGACCACACAGATTGAATGACATGGAAATACTTAAATGTGGAGCTCCTTTCGGTGGCCATGGTTTCGAGCAGTTTCCTTTGAAACCCATTAGCACATGGCACCCTCCTGGCACTTCTTCACTGCCCTGAGGAAAGGCTCAGCAGACATTTGATCCGTCGAAGAGCTGGCCAATCTCATGCTAAAAAGCCAACGGCGGGTTGACTTTTGTGAGTTATCATGGGCTCAGCCCTAATTACCTACACGACAGGTTCTTTGATTGTAACATACCTTCGGCCACCACTGCGGTGAGTCCAACCTTTGCTTTCTCCTGTACGCAGACATTCCACGCATATCGAATTTGAATGAATTTGAGACATGGGCCTCCCGAGGCTTTGACCTCCTTGCTTGGCATCGATGAGCTGGAAGAGGAACAGGGCGAAAGGATGTAAAGGAGGCTCCGGAGGTCCGGAGTGGCTTTATGCTTCTAGCTACTAGTAGCTTCTTGTTACTAGCAGTAATGGCCTCCAACCTAAGAGCAATGGCCTCCACCCTAGTAGCGATGGCCTCCAACCCAAGAGGCTCCCCAGGTCCGGAGTGGGTTTCGCGAAAGTGGGCTTTGGAGGTTTTAGAGCACATTCCCAACTACTTACCTTCGTTTCCAAGCAGGTCGCGGAGGAGGTTCCGAAACAGGTTCCAGAGGGCGGGTCAGTTCCAACGAAGATTCTCAGGCAGATTTTATTAGCCACGGCCATGCCACTGCTGTGGGGACAAAAACAAAACATTTGCAAAGTCCCGCCGGCGGAAACTGTCTCACTGTTTGTTTAAAAGCTGTGTTTTTCTGCTGAAAAAATTGTTTGGCAGGAAATGTTCTTTAATAAATTGTTCAACTTTGCAATGTAGCCAAAATGCAGGTTTGGAGCATGTTTTGCCTATTGAGAGACGTTTGGGAGAAGCGAGCTTCTTAGCCATGCAAGTACATAGCACCTGACATAATTCAGTTTCGGTTTCGAAGAAAGATGAGGACATTCAATAGCATCCTTCATCCTTTGGAAGCTGTCAATTCCTGTGCGGATTTGCACCTCAACCTCCAAATGCCGAAAAAGATAGTCAGATTCTGTGAGTACATTAATTGTTTCATATTGTTTATGTTTAATTCTTGTTTCTACTAGCTTCTTGTTACTACTAGTAAGGCACTTGTTACTAGTAGCGATGCACTTGTTCCTAGTATATGTTGGTTACAATTAGTAACATACAAAAATTACAAGCAATTGCAAAAAAACATTGTTCATTCAAAACTGCCTAAAACTGTGTCCAAAACACTTAGCAGTAGCATTCAAGATGACAAGCTACATTGCCTTTTCTCAGTCCTTGTTTGTATATGTGATGTCTCAAAGCTCCTTTGACATGTCACACGATGTCACATGTTTGCATCGGCCCCATGTCCGTGGACGCATCAACATCGCGTGCTACCATATTATATTGGTCACGTCCCCACCCGACCCATTGATCCGACCGAAGTATCATGCCCATGGACGCGAAATCGCAGGACGATAAAGGGGGCCGAACACATGCAAAAACTGAAATCCCGAGCTTGCTGTTGGGAATGTTTTTTGAGTCTATTTTGCTGATGTTCCTTTGAGATGAAGCTTGGCGGTACTTTTTTTCAATTGTTTCCATAGTTTGTGATAACTTCACAAATTGGTCTTGTCTTAGTTCTCTGGTAGTTTTGCGGTGTGATGATTTGGAGTGACTGTTTGGCAAGGTGGCTCGTGGATTTGTTGCTCTTTGTGGTTCGGGCTGGTGATTTTGAGTCGGGTCGTTGCTTGAGGTGTGCAGTCAAGTTTGTTTTGCTGGTGAGGCAAACATCATTTGTTGCTAAATCCGGTTCTTCGTTCATGTTTATCGGACTTTGAACATGTCAGTCAGGTCTCGCATTGAAGGAAAAGCGTGTTCTCAGAAGTTTGCCCCAGATTCTTGTGGCAAGGAGCATCGGGGAGCTTTGCTCGAACTCTTGCGTTCAGGAGCCAACGCTTAAAACATGTTCTTCCTTGGATACGGGAAGGAAAAAAAGATAATCCAAACAAGCAAAAAAGACAAGAAAACAAAGGACTAGAAAACAACAATCTTGATACACTTCCGCAGGGGCCGCAAGCTCTGTGCAGCTCAAGAGCTCCAAGGCACACCGGGGTTAGCGCCCTTGTATTCATACACATTCTGCCCTTTGCCTATTGTGCATTTAAGCTTTGAAAACTTATTGTTCTTGTTCCATCCAGTCGACGAACTGACAATGAGTACTGTAAGTAATGATATATACTATATAATGGTCCAGCATTTCTGTTCAAACATCAATGTCACTCAAGCAGATGCCTACTGTACACGATCTTGGCAAGCATATGCGAAAATCATCTATATATGCATGTTCAGATGTTTAAACAGGTTGAAACATTCACAGAGTCTTGGAATAGGAACATGCAATGTCTCCCAAAAAATAGTTTGCTTACCAAAACCAACCTCTAAGAATGCAAGGTCAACGAAGCTCAGGTGTAATTTTCATGTAAAGCTTCCAAGGACCAGATTCTACTTTCGACTTCGTGCCAGGCGCCGAAAGCAAAAAATAAGAAGCCAAGGGCTACGAAACCTTCCAAGGACGGCACAAAAAGTATCATAAACTACTTAAGACGAAGGGCAGAAACTGCTTGGTATCATGCTGTGCCTGCACCAGGTGCCCTCACGAGCCACGGCTGACGTGGACAGTGGGCCGGCCGGGCAGGCTGAGCAGGCACTTGAGCTTGAGGACAAGGATGACAGTGATGTGGAGCTAGGCATTCTCGAACCGCACCAGACTGAGCTCTCGACGGGAAACAGGATTGCTTCGAATATGGAAAGGAATGAGAACATATGCGAATATTCAATACAAGACAAAAGTAGGAAATTTGTCAGAGATGTTTCTTTTCACTTTAAAGCTTGGCTTTGCATGCATGAAGTGCATGGATGCTTACACGAATGGGGATGGCGATCCCTTTTGTGTCCAAGGTTACCAGGCTGTGTGCCTTTGGATTTGGATGAATCAGATGAATGATTTCCCAAAATCCAATCAATCGAATTCAATAAATTGGGATTTGATATAAAGGGGTTTTAGATGGTTTTAGATAGCACGCGACCTTTTGGATGCTGTCCAAACCATCCGCGAAAGATCCTCGATGAGGTTCGCGGAAGTATTAGTGTTTTCTTCTGCAAAAGATTTATCGAATGTTCATGTTCATATGTTGTTTTCTCCCGACATATGAGTCAACCTAGACCTAGACATTATCAAAGACAACTTTTGTAGAGAGCGCTTCATATTGGAAGGTTCCATGAAAATTGATATGGGGCTCATTAAAACGATGCTCTTTCCTGATCATCGCAACCACATGGTTCTTTAGACATGGCAACCTGACAGTGTGTTATGATTCTATGATTGCAAATCATCAGCCGCATGTGCCTGTGTGTCGAGTTTCTATGCTATACAGGGTGCGCTGGATCAAGCCGGTCATAATAAAGACATATAAAGACGCTCATCAGCGTTTGCCACTACTTAGTTGAGGTGCTAACAAAGTGTTTTTTTGTGCTGTTTAGAATATTGACTGGAGTTTGTGAGTTGTTTTGCAGAGAACGGACGCTTTTGTCATGTCCTAGCGCTTGCTCAACAGGAAATTGCCGAGGGCACGTGCTTTGGTAGAACACATACGATGTTTGTGACAAGTGAATGGCAGGTCGCGCCTTTAACAAGATTTTATACGATGCGCAATCTATCGATTTATCGTGATAGGATTGAATTGTTTTTCATGTATTCGGCGTAGCACACCTCGAAAGCTAGCCGGTAGGTTGGGTTTGAGGTTGTTGGAGCGGACGAAATGAATAAAGGGAGATGGAGGGGGGGGTTGTGGGGGGTTATTTTCGGAGAGGATAATTTAGAGTTTGGTGGGGGAGAGCGACAAAAAGAGGGGCAATTAGGTAGTGAAAAATGGATGATTTGAGGGATGATGTAATTGATGACGAAAAATGTATTATTATCGGGAATATGAAATATTTAGGAGGATATGGAAATGAAAAACGACAAGGGTTTTAATGTGGTTTCTTGAATTGAATTTTGAATATAGATTGTTTTTTCTGTTGATCGTATATTTTATGTGTTTTTTCGATATAGTCTAGTTAAGTTTTTGTTTTATATTATTTTTGGTTTTGAATCGGTGTTATATATATAGTAAGTTGATGCGAATATATTATGTTATTATGTGGGTGGAGATTTATTAATTGGAATTTTGATTGTAATTGATAATATTTATTTTTAGTGTTGGTTGTATTAGATTCTATATTTTCGGCGTTATTGAAATTATTTGGTTAAAGAAATATATTGTTCGAATATATTATATATGGAAATTGAATTTATTTATATATAATGAATTTATTAAACGTTATTGTTAGCTTAGACTCGTGTAGTTATTTCTTTTAGGTAATATGGGTTTTTTATTAATAAATCCCCCCGCCCCCCTTTTGATTAAGTTTGGGCCTTAAATAATACGATTTCTAGAAAAAATCCTAGAAAATCTTGATTTGAATAGGAAAGGATAATGAAAGGAAAGGAAAGGATAATGAAAGGAAAGCTTAGAATTAGCTTGGATGAATTAAAATTTGGAAGCAGCTGAAAATTAAGATTTAGAATATATTTAATATTATTTGAGGGCCATTTACAATTGATTTTTGAAAAGATTTAGTATTATTTACGGGCCATTTATTATTAGGAAGTTAATATTATTCGATTATAACGAATTGGAATCGCGATTTGCGAAATATAATGAGGATTTTTACATATTGGATATTCTTTTTATTTTAGATTTTATAAACTGTACCATCGTAAATTGATAAAGGAAAATATGCTTTGGTAGCATTTCTTAAAGGCATTTATATCGAATATGTCTGGCGTGAGGTTATTATAATCTTTTCGTTTTGTAGTACCAAAGCTATAATTTCCAAACAGAATTAAATAGGCACGAAATTTAAGGAGGTATGGGCGTATAATGGCTCCGGTCATTTTGTAGACCCATTAAGTTGTAAACGCATTAAAAGAAGTTTTCGTAGAGTTTGCAAGCGATTATTATTCTATGGTTGTATATAATACAAAGGCAAAGAGCTCTGGCCCTCGATGGTCTTTTTCCGGTCCGGTTGAAGCAATTGATTATGCTTGAATTTCGAGATCGACTTGCAATTAGGGCCTCTGTTGGGCCCTCTATGCACTCGACACCTGAGGCTATATACAGATCTTTTGTTGGAATGCATTTTGGAGCTTGTAGCTGGATGAATGGCTCTCTTGGTGCTCTTCCTAATTATACACGCTGATTCTGGTACAAGAGACTGGCTGGAACCTGAATAAACGATGGATTACGCCTGGTTGGTACATGATCTATAATGTAGTAGGTCGAGCCTCCACTCTGTGTATGGTTCGAACCACGCTCCTTCGACTAGATCAATTTATGTTTGCAGAAGTGATTCCAGGCCGCCTGCAACATATTAGATTGTACCTAACTAGAGTGCATGATATCTTCAACATATATTAAATTGTTTGGAATACCACTAAGCCTCGTAATGTTCTACTTCATAAACGAACCTTGGTATGGAAGGCACTCTAAGATGCCATTCAACATGTTTTTAAGAACCATATGCTCTTGATTGCAGGTGATTGCAACACCCCGTTGAATGCAGCACCACCCGCCGTCGAATCTAGAGATGCCAAATACAGCCTGGCTGCTCAGACAGATAAACATGACTTTCAAAGACTAGTCCATGAATTTGATCTTTGTGCATCCCACTGTCGAGGCAAATGGAATCCCACCTTCCAACACGGCACTCATTCATCTAGGATAGACTTCATGTTCATCAGGGCACATCAACATCAAGGCAGGAAACATCATGCCAAGATTCTCACCAGATTCGAACGGTCTATGCCTCATGAAGGGCCACAACATCACCCGTTAATCCTTTCCCTGCCCAGATGGTTTGCACCTCCTCGAGGAACTTCCAAACAGGCTCACATCGACCGCCAACGATTGAGGCAGGGTTTCAAGCTGCAGAACGAGAATTGGCAATTATTTGAATTGTTCCATCAGGTGACCGCTCCGACTGAATCCAATGCACTGGACACTTGTATGACAATAGAACAGCAGATTCGTGACCTTTGTGTTCTTCACTTTGCCACTCAACCTGTTACCCGCTCGATCTGCCCACAGGTACGATCCTTGAGCGCTCAAATGTGGTATGCTCGCCGCCAGCTCTTGAGATCTCAGCCTTGCACCCTGACGGCCGTGTTTACGAGATGGAACCATGTCACCAAATTTGAGAAGCTTCATAAACAGATTCGTAAACAAAGCCGCCTGAATCGTAAGAATAGGTTAACAACATTCCTTGAGGAAAGTGTGCCATTTGTCCTTCGCAATCAGATGCACGAATGGTACACACGTGTCAGAACACTGTATCCCAAGCAACAGAATCGTCGCATCTAGATGTTTGTTCCCACTGGTGCACCCATGTCACAGGACCAGGAACTTGATAAGCTGGTTGAATACTTTCAGACATTGTTCACAGATGCTCACACCCCCCTTCCTCATCCAGCACCTCTGCAGACTCTACCGTTCACTGAGGAAGATGTGCAGCTTGAACTTGAAAGACTCCCAATCACCAAAGCACTGGCCCCAGACGGATTTCCTGCCCTGATTTGGAAGCAGTTTGCACCACAGCTCACCCCCATCATCTATGCATGCATTCGTCAAGCTTGGACCTCTGACCCATGCATCCCACCCACCAGATGGTCGACAGGCTGGTTGCATCTCCTGCCCAAGGGCATCTTTAGATGCCCCCTTCTTCTGGACCATTAGCATGTATCTCATACTTCATGATCTTTTAGCCCAATATGATCATGCCTGGATCACCAACCACATCCTAAAATATGCAGATGATATCCACCTGAGATGCATCATCACCTCACCGAGTGAGGGCCTCGCTGCATTGCACGATTTGTCTTTCCTGCTTAGGGTGTTTCGAGCCTATGGACTCCGAATCAATCAACAGAAGAGCGTGGCTCTCACTCGAATGGTTGGCCGAGCACTGAACCCGTTTCTTCGCCGTTGGACCAGCAGACCTACATCAGGTCCTGTACTGCGCCTGCCAGATACAAGCCTGACGATCCCTCTCATGAACAAAACCTCATACCTCGGCACCATTGTGAGTTATAGAGCATGGGAAGCAGACACAGTTCGTCGCAGGATCACAGCAGCCCAGACGTGCTTTCGAATTCTCCGCAGGTGGCTTCTTGATAAGCATCATGATATCAAGATTCGAATTCGTTTGTACAATCAATGTGTTCTTCCCATTGTGCTCTATGGGATCTTCGAGATGGGAGTCACCTATACAGGCAGTCAAACCATCATTGGAATGATAAATAATCACCATCGCATGATTGCACATGCCCCTGTCCATCTCACTCGAATTCCCACCACTGAGTTCTTCACCTCACTTGGACTTAGGCCTCCATGGATCACCCTGCAACAACACTTTCCCAGACTCATGACAGCCTTGAACCACCGACGGGATTTTCTCCGCAGATCGGCCATGGATGATTCAGTGGAAGATGTTTGTGCCACGATCCCAGAATATCCTGAAGCCCAAATCATCCCACCACAATTTGACTCCATGCACACGCCACAGGAACCTGTCCTACGATGCCCTGAATGCGCTCGGGCCTTCACCCAGGCCAGATCATATAAACGCCATCTTAGGGAATATCACCAGATTCCATGTCACCCAGATGACCTCTTCCTTCCTTTGAGAGATGCATTGGATGGCCACTCCACATGCAGACATTGTTTGAAACCGTTCACAGATTTTTACAGATTATCAATAAGAGAGTTTGTATGTCTTTTGATCCGACCAAGGACACCATTGTGCCGATCTGTGACCGCCCAGATCTCCGCATGCATCTCAGATACAAGAGTATCCCGGGCTTGCTCCTCAATAAAGCCCTCATGAGTGAACTAGCCAATCACTGTGCCTACTGCCATTCGGCCATTGCAGCTAGAT